CTGATGTTGGAACTAACTGTTCAAGTTCCATTTAGGCAGCCACGTTGTTGAGATGCACAGTCCCACAGAAGACTTCCCGGTCTCAAGCTCCGACAGTCTTCCTGTCTTCTGAGGTGTTGGGTGCAGGACTTGTGATGTGGATATTTCAGTTGTGGCCGGGTACCCGACAGTCAGTTGTCCTCTGCATCCTGACTAGCTGTGTTTTCTGTGACGGTCTGTCTCTCTCTCTCTCTCTCTCTCTCTCTCTCTCTCTCTCTCTCTCTCTCTCTCTCTCTCTCTCTCTCTCTCTCTGCTTCTTAGAAAGCAGGGATGAGAGCCACAGTCATCTGTGGACAAGGATGAATATTTAGAGTGAAGACCGAAATGTTTTGCTTCAAGACAGTGGAGGTAGGGAGGAAAGAGGGATAAATAACACTTAGGATGATGTCTGCAAAAGATGTAGGGAACCATTACTTTATATTTACCTAAAGTCACAAGCAATACAGATACGCAAATACATGCATATGTAGTTTAAGCGACGTTATACCACTTGGGGTGAAAATATATCTCCCAAGAGCCGTAGACTGTCTAATCAAACACGCCCCACGCCACCCCCCAGTACCAGGCATGAGAACCCTCCTCTCAAGATGTTAGCCAAGGGAGTTCAAGAGAGTCCCCGAAACAACATAGGCTGTTGCCCTCGTTCTTGGTAGTTTCCCTGGCTGAAGACACCACCCGCTTTGGACATAGGGGGCTGGGAGGGACTGAGCTGGCCTGCCCCCTGAGGACTAGCTCACACAGGACTGAAAGGTAACATTCAGGCTGCTAAGAGAGGAAACACTCACAGTCGCACACAGCTGTGGTCCTTGTGAGCCATACCAAACCCTGGCGTTAAACGCCATGCCTGAAGGTACAGCAGTGATGCTTGTGTGCTCTCAGTAACTGACCACATCCTACCTGAACCGAAGGCCGGCTTAACGGGAGGGAAGCCATGCCTGGTACTGTCACCCTCTCTCCAACTGCATGTGGTCAGCGAGACCATGATCTCAGAGGAGAATCCACTGCACCTCCTTAACAGACTTTAGAGATGTGGCTAGGCAGAGTGTAGCACTTTCCTCAAATACCGGTCCACGCCCTGGTGAAACTGTTCAGAATCCTTTTGTCCAGCATTTTGAAATGCATGGGGCACCCAATTAACGTCAGAGCCCCAGCCCCTCTTGCTCCTAACCCCAGTCAGTCATCACCACTGGCCAAGTGTTGCACCCTCCCAGTCCCTCCCACCTTGGTAACCAGTACTCCCTCCATCCTCCTCAAAGTCTGAAGCCCGAGGCTTTGTGATCCACACCCGAGTGCGCTCACAAAGCTCTTGCCTTTCTGCGCCCGCCTTGTTTCACCTGGCACAGTGATCTCCAGCTCTTAAGCACCTTGCCGCAGAGGGCTGGAGCTCACTCTTCGTAACTGCCCCCCACTGTGTCTCATTGCCGAGCTTTCTGTAAACACACAATGGCACTAGCCTCTTCTCATTCCTTGGCTGTTGCTACGGTGCACACAGGAGTGCAGATGTCTCTTTGAAACACTGCTTCCCCCCTTGGATATAAAGCCAGCAGTGAGATTGCCGGACCATATGGTGGTTCTATTTGTAGTTTTGTATTTTTTTTTCCCTAAGGACCTTCCATCTTGTTCTCCAAAATGGCTACACTAATTTACATTCCCAACACCCTTGAGAGAGGGCTCCCTTCTCTCCCTAACTCCAGCATTTCCCACTCTGGAGTAGCCATCCTTACTGGGATAGATCCATAGCTCACATATGCTTTGATCTGCGTTTCCAGGTGACGAGTGGGCCTGAACGTGTTGCACACGCCTGTTGAGGCACTTGCCTGTCTTCTTTTCGGACGTGTTTAGTGCACACTTTCTGTCAGGCTGGCTTTTGCTGTTATTTGAACTCCTTAACACCGAGACGGTCACTCCTTATCAGATGTGTGGTCTATCAGCGTGGCCACCCGTGACGCAAGTTTCTCCTTCATCCCGACAGCTGCTTCCTTAGCCACGCAGAATTTATGTGCTTTGTCATAATCCCACTTATCAAGTTTTGTTGTTGTTGTTGTTGGTTTTTAACTGTGATTTCTCAGGTCTTGGCCCCAAAAGACCTTGTCCATTCATGTGCCCTAAAATGCTTCCTCTACGTTTTCTTCTAACAGTTTTGTTTTCTCGAGGTCTTAATGTTTGAGCCTTGAATTCACGTTGAGTTCATTTTTAGTGTCTCTCAACTGGTCAGTCAGGGGATCTAATTTCCTTCTTCTGTCTGCTCAGTCTTCGAATCATTATTTTGAGTGACTGTCCTTTCTCCCTGCATGTTGTCAGTGTTAGCTGGAAGGCAGCTGGCTACAGTGCGGATCCAGGTGCACAGCCCTTGCTCTATTCCAGTGGTTGTTATCTCTCTCTATCCGTTCCATGCTGCTCCGCCATTACAGCTTTGCAGTTTATTTTGAAATTATCTATCATAATTCCTCCTGCCTTTTTTTCTTTGCTAAACATCTTTTTTTATCTACTAAGACTTTTGTATGCCTATGCATGTGCGTATGTGCGTTGACATACGTGCATGCTCACATGCATGTGCCTCCTAGAGAACCTTTAGAGTTGTTTTCCCTGATTCTCTGAAGACTGTCTTTGATAGGGATTATAATGAATCTACAGACAACCTTTGGTGATACGTACATTCTAATAGTATTGATTCATCCCATCTATAATTGCAGGATGTATTTCAATTTCCTGTGTTTCTCTTCAGTTTTAAATTCTATTTTGTACAGCTTTCATCATAGAAATTTTTCACCCTTTTGGGTTATATGTACTCTCATTGCATTTTATTTTTCATAGTTATTGAAAAACAGGGTGGCTTCCTTGGTTTCTAGTTTAGATAATTTGCTATTGGTATCTAACAACACTAACTTTTACGTTTTGTCTCCTGCAACTTTGCTAAATTTGTGTATGAATCCCCATAGGTGTTTGGTGGAGTCTGGGTTTTTCTCTGTATAAGACCGTGTCATCTGCAAATGACAACAATTTGACATCCTCTTTTCCAATTTAGATGCTTTCATTTCCTTCCCTTGTTTCATTGTTCTGCCCGGGGCTTTCAGTGCTGTGTTGAATACAAGTGATAATGGTCTTGTCCTGGGTGTTAGGAGAGAATCTTTCAGCTTTTTCCCATGCAGTATTAGATTATGTGTTAGCTTGTTATATTTGCCATTATTGTGTTGAAGTATTTGTGTATTCTATCTATTCTTAACTTGTTTAGTGTTGAAATTTTAATTTTATCAAAGGCATTTTATCAAAACCTTCATTTTGATGGTTTATTTTGCTTATTGATTCATATACGTTTAACTATTATGAGTAATGGTAATAATCTTTTTAATGTTTGATAATACTTTGTTGAGGATTTTATATCTATGTTCATCGGGGTTATTAACCTATTAAAACTGAGATGTTCTTCTGTGGTTGGGATAACAGGATAAGGCTGGCATCATTGATGTGTTTGGAGAGGTTACCTCATATTCAATTCTTTTTTTGTGGAATAGTATAAGAAGACCCTGACATCAGTTCTCTTTAAGTGTTTGATAGAACTCAGCAGTGCAATTGTGTCTTGTCCTGGGCTTTTCTTTGAGAGACTATTATTTAATCACTGATTTAGTTTCATTACTTGTTATCAATATCATCGTTTTTCCCCCTCTACTTCATGGTTCAGTCATAGTGAAGTGTATGGGTTCAGGAAATTATCCATTTCTGTGATATCCATTGTAATGTCTCTTTTCATATCTCTCTGTCTCTCTCTGTCTGTCCCTCTCTCTCTCTCTGTCTGTCCCTCTCTCTCTCTCTCTCTTTGTCTCTGTCTCTGTCTCTCTCTGTCTTTGTCTCTGTCTCTCTCTGTCTCTGTCTCTGTCTCTCTCTCCCTCTGTCTCTGTCTCTCTCTGTCTTTGTCTCTGTCTCTGTCTCTGTCTCTGTCTCTCTCTCTCTCTGTCTCTCTCTCTTTCTCTCTCTCTCCCCCTCTGTCTCTTGTTTTTATGAGCTAGGGATTCACTAAGTAGCCCTGGCTGTCCTAGAACTTGCTATGTAAGCAAGGCTGGCTTCAACCTCACAGAAATCTGTTTGTTTCCTTTGGGATTAAGAGAGCATGCTACCACATCTGGCCATATCTTATGTTTTAAGCCTTTTTCTTATGTGTCCATGAGTGGGGGTATGTGACTGAAGTCACTCTGGGGGAGCAGAAGCAGACACTGAATGCTGTGGAGCTGCAGTTACAGGTGGCTGGGAGCCACCTTACATGGGTACTTAGAGCCAACTCAGGGCCTCTGTGTGAGGCCACGCGGTGCTAGCGTGAGCAGTACTCACTCTAACTGCCAAGCCAGCTCCAGTTCTCAGCTCTTCATATTTTGAACTCTGGCATTTGGATTGGTTTGTTTGTTTTTTTTCAACTTAACACCAGGTCAGGTCAACTAGGAACCTCGATTTAAAAAAATTGCCTCTCATATTGGCTTTTAATCAAGTCTGTGGGGCATTTTCTTTTCTTTTTTCTTTTTCCCAACATAATATTTTTATTAGTTATTTGAGAATTTCATACAATGTATCCAACCACACTCCCTTCCCACTCCTCCCACACTTGCAGAACCCACAGCTCCCCCAAAAGAAAAATACACCAAATCCAAATGTGTTGCCCGTATACTCACTGGAGCATGGTCAAACTCCCAGTGGCCAGCCCCTTCAAGAAAACTGAGTTCTTCCCCTCTCCCACCCCAGCCATAAGCCATCAACTGTGGACAGATACACTTAGCACATCTGTATGACAATTTTTAACAGTCTGGACTGTTCCTCCTCCTCCTTCCCTCCTCCTCTGCCTCCTCCTTCTCTTCTTCCTCTCTCTCCTCCCTCCCTCTCTCTCTCTCTCTCTCTCTCTCTCTCTCTCTCTCTCTCTCTCTCTCTCTCTCTCTCTCTCTCAGAGGGGGCTTGTCACAGAAATCCTCAATGTCTCTCTTTTTCAATTATGAGTCTGCAGTCATCAATACCATTGTAAAAACATCTTCCCTGCCCTTAGCAGCTGGCAGCAGCACAGATCATGAGCTTGCACGCGGTTTCTGGCCGCAGCAAGGACAGACATCCACACACGGCCTCCAGCAACAGCACAGACCATGGACCTCAACATGACATCCGGTGGCACAACGGACCACAGGCACCAACACTGTTCCCAGTGGCAGCACAGACTAAGGGAGGTCTTCCAAGAAGGCTTACTCCAGAAAATAAAGCATTCTTCACCTTGGATATCTTGCAGTTCAGTCAGGGCAATTGTGCAACTGGGCAGTGTGTTCAGAGGCGGTACCTGCTCAAACACCAGGCAGCTGTCCACCACCCTGCCCTCAGCATCAGCAGCTCCGCCAGTACCCTGGGCATGACCATCACGATTGCAGCCTGCTGGGAGCACCATTGCTTTCCTCTCCCCCAGCAGGACGAGCAGCAGAGGAAAAGGGTTTCTGTTGTAATAGTTCTGGCTGTCCCGGAACTGGCTTTGTAGACCAAGGTGGCCTTGAACTCACAAGCATCTTCCCACGAGACCTGCCTGTTTTAGTTGTTCTGGAGATGCTGCATGATCTCCAGTTTTATCCTCCACCACCTCGCCTCCCTTTGATGGCTCCGTGGGTCTCTCAGGCTCCTCGGAGCAGCCACAGCCCTGCGGGGGCCGGTGACCACCGCCATCTTGAATCAAGACTTGCCTTTTCTTGACTGATGATGGGTGTGTAGGGTGGTGCAACTCCTGCGCCGGTGATACCAGTTGTATAAGAAAGAAAACTGAGCGGCGCACCGAGAGCAAACCTCCCTGAATGCTTTTGGTCCCATTTGGGACTTCCCACTCCAAACACACTCCTCCGTGGTCTTTGCCTTAGTTCCTGCCTGCAGGTTCCTGCCATTTTGAGTTCCTGCCTTGGCTTTGCTCAGTGATGGACTGTGATTAGGAAGTGTAAATAAACACTTTGTTCCCCAAGTTACTTTGGGTTACGAGCATCATAGCAATAGAAAGCAAACCTTATTTATTATCTATTTCACTTTCTTACAATCTGATATTTGTTATCTTTCCTCTTAATTTGGAGTTTGGCTTGTTAGTTCTTTGAGATGCAGCAAGAAGTTGTGTATTTAAGCTTCTCCGCTCCGTTCGCATCACTGATTATTGTGAACTTGCCTCTTGACCCTAGTTTTGATATGTGTGTCTCCACCCTCATTGGTGTCAAGAAAAATTTTATTCCTTGATCATTGGTTCAAGAATAAACTAGAAATAACATTCACTTGTTTGTATACTATTGAAAATTTTCTTACCGAAAAAAAAGATACTTGATATGGCTTCAGGGCTTTTTAGAACTCTTGTGTACATGATAGGAGGTTCGTGTTTGAGTGTGTGTGTGTATGAGAGAGAGAGACAGACAGACAGACAGACAGACAGACAGACAGACACATGTCATTGCGCATATATGGAGGACAACCTTGCTCGAGACAGCATCTTCTATTCACTCCTGTGTACACCAGGCTAACAGGCTCTTGGGCTTCTGGGATTCTTGTGTCTGCTTTCCAACTTTGCTCTAGGAGCTTTGATATTGTAGAAGCATGCTACCGTGTCTGGCTTCACGTGGGTTCCGAGGCTCTGAACTCGTGTCTTCGCTCTCATAACGGCAAGCACTTGACCCACTGAACGACTCCTCGGCCCTTGACTTCAGTTTCTAAAAGGAATTGTTGAGGCGTGTCTTCTGGCCAGCTGCTCTTGAATGGCCTTTGAAGCAGGGGAAATGACAAGTCAGAGGCGACCCCGGGGTTTCAGTCCAGAGCAATGTCTATGTTGTTAAAGAGTGCGAGCATGTTACGTTGTGAAAGAGACAGGAACTGCAACTCTAGAGGATCATGAGGGCTGAGTCCCTACTCATCTGTTGGGTTTGTGGTTTTCAGGGAGCTGATGCTGGTTGCCCATCAGAAAAGCATCGAGCAGATGCAGGAAACCCTGAGACAGAAGCTGCTGAGTGATGACAGCTGGCGGGAGAAGGTAACACTGGCTCTCATCTGCCTGTGTCTTGTTTGCTTTGGAAACATTGTATCCTTTCTGCCAGAAGACTGTTCCAGATAGACTTCTTTGCCTCCCTGAATGCTTTTGGTTCCATTTGGAACTTCCCACTCCAAACACAGTTAAGACAGGCATTTTCCAGAATATTAGACAATATGATAGGAAATAAAAAGGGAAAATGAAAAATAGATTTTTGAAATCTTGTAATGTTAGGATATTTCTTGGTCCTTACCCAGAAAAACCATAACTTTAATCTTTAAATACTTACCTTTTTCCAGCTAGTGTCAACCTGGATTTGATCATATTTGTTAAAGCATAGAGATGCTAATAATTCTCACTCCTTTGCTCCTAAGACAAGAGAGCAGAAGTAATTTTAAAATTATTAGTTATGAGAATTTGACCAGTTTACTCTGGTAGGGCTAAATGAATAAACATTTCCCTTTCCTACTACTAAGAACTGTTTGCTCTCAGAGCATGAGAGCTCACCACGGTCTTTGGACTTGGCTACACTTTCCAGGGTTTCAACAATGAACAACCTAAGTGCATCTGAATAAAGCAAGTCATACTCTTTAAGCTGTTAGCCCCCACCTTCTCAGCACGTACAGCCTACCCACAAAGGACTAGTGATCAGCCCCTCCCTGTCACAAATCTCAGTTCTCCTCCTGACTCCTGGAAAACCCTGGACTCTTGAGCCCAAGTCTTCCTTTCCACCTTGCTGTCCTCCTGCTGGCTGTGTCTTGTACCCAGCACAGGTCTTCTCCCTCAGTTTCATCTTTTGTTGCAACAAACTGGGGGGGGAGGAACGCTACGTTTGGAATCCAAGGCGGTGAACACACTAGGCAAAACACTACTCAAGATCTTTAACTGGGCCCGCCCCGCCCCCTCCCCCGCCCGCCCACTGTCTTGCTACAGTTTACAATTCCTCTAGAACTGGAGTTTTCCACTGAATTTCACGCAGTATGGCCAATGCTCCTTGTGATCTGTTCAGTCACTGTTGAGGATTGGGATCCTATTACTTGTCACCTCAGCCACCTTCAAGCTATCGACCTCACTGCGCCGCGCAGCATATTGCAACCATTTACCCACCGTCAATGCTCTGCTAGATTCTGGGTTTGTCGCTTCCATTTCCAGTTTTCCGACACCCTCAACCAGCGCTGGCTATGGGCCAATGCCTTCTCCCTTGTCCTTCAAGAGTCAGACTGGGTATGGCGTCACACACCTGTTACCCCAGTTTTAAGGCGAGGGCAGCCTGCACTGAAGTGTCCCTGCGTCAAGAAGAAAATCACCGGCCCTTATCATTTGAATATTTAACTACTCAAAAAAGACTATCTTCCTGCACGTCCAGGGCCCTGGGTTCCATTCCAGCACCACCAAACAGTTCCAACCAGGAGGCTTGTCCATTAATGCCAGATGTTAGAATAGTTTTGGCACTGCGTTGAAAGCCTAGGAAAGGAGCCCACTGTGGCCACGGAAACTGAGATGAAAGCAGCTCTCTGGAGAGCAGTTGTGAGACTCTCTAAATGTCCCGAGTTTTGACTCAGAGATTGCTGGGGTGGAGTTAACCTGGATGGAGATATGGCAATCATTTTCTCCAACCCTGAGGTCTTCCTCTTAGACCGATGTGACAAACGTTCCTGCCTCCCCCTAAGAAGCTCTCCATACTCCCACCCCACTGGGGATTTTAGGTTCATTCCATTCGAGAAGGGTCTTCATGGCTCATTCTAGTTCTTACACTCAGAGATCAAGCCAGTGCTAGCATTTGCCATAAAAACAAAACAAAACAAAACAAAAAAACCGATATTCTTGCTTTATACAAAGTTAATCCAATGGTGAAAAGACTCCTGTGTAATATTGTAAAAGTTCTTCTGAATGCATGCTGTGTCTCCAACACATTATGCCTATACAGATGTCCCATGGCGTGCATAATTTCCTGTAGTATAAATGGTTGTCTCATTTTGTTGAGAGGACATTACTTCTTAATAAATGCTACTGTTTAACCAGCAGGAAATCATGCTTGGGCCAGTACAGCCGGAGGATAATAAGAAAGTCTTGACTGTGTTAGCTATTAAGACTATGAATAAAAAGTTCCCTAAAAGTCCTCTCATGAGCAAAGAGAATCACTAATATGACATTGTCATCTCTTTCTTGGGTCACTGTGCCTTTGCATAGGAATGAAATGTTCTCTTTACAAATATATAATGCACAAATTAGAATAAACTTAATAACTTAGATGCTTTTAACATTTTTAAAAAGTAGATAGCAATTTGTGCCTTGCTTAATTATTTTAGAGTATGTGAAAAAAACACACATAATAGGATCAATAGTTGCTATGCAACAAAGAGGGCACATTCTCAAATAACTATTTACTGATTGTCATGATTTTTTGTTTATTTTTGAGTATTGCTTGGATACAAAGAAAGCAAATTAATGGGCACGATGAACCTTTAAAATTGGTTCCAAGTGCATAATATATTGTTACTATTCATTTGAAATTCTGTGATGAAAAAAACCCTCTTGCAGCCTGAATAATTATATAACCAATTCACACCACTTGTTGACACTCACTTTTTAATATAGCAGACACATTCCAACCAAATATTTTCTTAGATTATCATCAACATATTACCATCTAGAAACATTTTGGAAGTGTACTAATGACCTCATTGTTAGTACATGGACCTTTTGAAAACAAACAAAACCTTGGCTAGAGTAACCAGATTGACAGTGAAATACACAGAAGTAAACGTCCCTTCAAGAAATAATAAACTTTAAATTTTCTAAGTTGGTGGATCATATATAATCTCAGCACTGGGGAGGCAGAGACGGGAGAATCTCTGTGAATTTGAGGCCAACACACAGAAGAGTTGCAGGCCACCCAGGACTACATGGTGGGACCGTCTTAGCAAACAAAAGAGAAATAATAAATTCCAAATTAGAAGGAACCATAACAACAAAAAAACCCCTCACTCTTTTTCCAGTAGAATGTTCAAGTGTCCAAATGATTCCTAATGTGTTGTAACGTGCAATCAATGAAGTAAAGAGATTAGCACACAAAATGCAAAGTTTGACAGTGGTGAGGTTATTTGTATGATGTCATTTTTAATTGTGCATAATAAACATATGACGAAATATTGAGGGCATAACTCGATTTTGAATTGATTAACAAGGAATGTCCATTACAAATAAAATAATCCCCATTATTAAAGCATTTGCTGTACACCAGGCTTTGTGCTGAATTCTGTTTATAAGTGTGTTTTAACTTGTACAACACCATTCTTCCAGTTTTACAGATAAAAAAAAAAACAGGACTCAGAGAAGTTGGGTGATATGTCAAGGCTGCAGAGCAAGGAAATGAGCTGACACTAACTTCATCCTCCAGCATCTAAACACAAAGTCCAAGACTTCTGCGTTCCACCAGGGTGCAGACACAACCACCAGATTTACTCTTCCATCTGAACAAATAAACCCCTGGAGCAAAAGCAGACAACAGTGGTTTCAAGACATGTGACAGTCCCATGACCTGTGAGTGGGTAGCTTAGTCCCTTGAAAGTCTTCAAGGTGTGGCACAGGAGACTGGGGAAACAGGCTGAGCTTGGCAGGTCTTTGAGTTGAGGAGCTACAGAGATGAAAGCAGCAATAGTTCTCAAAATAGCGTTTGCAGAAGAGCATTCCAAAGAGGCTGTGAGACTAGCCTTTAATCGCTCAGCCAGTTCTCCAGCCAGTGTTCCAAAGAGGAAGGGTGCAGGCGATCTAGGAAGTCACCTTAGAGTGTGGATGATCAGCATGCATGTGTGGGGAAACTGTAGCCCCAGAAGGCCGGACTGAGAGAAGTAAAGGATAAAACACTTCCATACAGCCAGGTGTCAACCTGTTTTCACCAAACAGACTGGAAAACGTGTAACGCACTGGACACTAAAAAGGGCTCTTCCATAACTGGCATTCCATTGTTGGGCATTGTCAGCCCTAGATGAAATGATGATCTAATCCTGTCAGATGTCAAAAGGAAGACCTAACATGAGCTGATTCTTTTTGTTTGTTTGTTTTGTTTTATTTTCTGCAACAGGGTTTCTTTATGTAGCTTTGGCAGTCTTGGAACCAGCTCCGTAGACCAGGCTGGCGTCGAGCTCACAGAGTTACACCTGCCTCTGCTCCCAAGTGCTGGGATTAAAGGTATTAGCTGCTAATGGTTGGCTAAGACACTCTGCTGTATCCCAGAATAGGTAGCACACACATCCATAGAAATACCAGCTTACCCAGATTCTGGAAGATAAATCCATGCACAAGCATCTACCAATGTGACACTCACAGTGCCTACCACCTAATCCATAATTTCCACACACGGAAATAACTAGAAGAACAGAGCTCATTAGCAAAAAGAAAGACCAATGAATAAAATCTGACCCAGAGGGGTCTATGAGTTGGCCCAGTTTCCCAGAGGACCCAGATTCTGTTCCCAGCACCATGTCTACAACTCCAGTACCAGGGACGATGTCCTCTTGTGAAATCTCTGTGCGCTGCACATGCATGACACACAGACATAATGCACAGGCACAACACTCACACCTGTAAAACAAAAACATACTTTAAATGACTCAGAAAGACACAGATGTTAAGGTTAGATGATAGGGACATATAAACAGTTGGCATGAGTGCTTGCCATATGTCCAAGACGTAAAGGCAATCTCCACTGTGTTAAGCTTGGCCGTGTAAGCGATTAGACAAGATGTAAATGGAAAATGCAGCGCAGACAAGAGTACGTTCAACCAATAGAAAGTTAGACACTCCATAAGAAAAGTCCAGCGCACCCGAAAACACAGCAAACAGAAAAGCTTTCTGATTAAAACATGATTTTCTGTTAAAGTCTCAAAACGTGAAAAGCCTGCCATCAGTGATCTATGAGCTAAACTCAAGTGGCCTGACATCTGCAGTTAGAGAAGGGGAGACAGAACAATTGCAGTTTGGTTATCATTGACTAAACCCCTACTATCCACACGCAACTGAATATATATCATATTGGTCTTTCTCAGTCTGGGATACCTAACTCAGGATGATTTTTTTCTAGTTCCATCTACTTACCTGAAAATTTCATTTTTTTAACAGCTGAATAATACTCCGTTGTATTCCATTTTCTTTATCTGTTCTTCAGCTGAGGGGCATCTAGGATGTTGTGAATTTCTAGCTATTATGAATAGAGCAGCAATGAACACGGTTGAGCAAGTGACCTTGTAGGCATGTGGGGAGACATGTTTTATGGGAAAAAAAAAACAAGCTCACGGAACCACCAAGTCCAGTGCTGACAAAGGTGTATTGCTTCACCTCTCTGAAGCTGTTTCGTTTGCTTTTCTCCTTTGATCCATTTTTTTGTGAGTGTGCAAAATAATGGGTTTCACTATGGCAGTTCATGCCCCCATGATCAATGTGCTTTCCTCTCGGCCCCCTTCTGAATCTGAACAACGGGGGAATAATGGTCTTCAACAGTATTTGATCTCACCATGTGGAGAATAGCACAACACTTTCTTTTCAGGGGATATATGTCTTCAGAAATGTTCTGTGCACTGTCAAATAGAAATGATTGCTCTGACTCCTGGTTTGGCATCTGAAACTGATTCGAAAGATGTTGGATGTTGTTGAATAACAGGCAGTTATGTTACCCCGTGGGAACTGTCTCCATGGGCAACAAAGAATAACAACGCCAGCCACAAAAAAATTTTTTTACTTTGAGAATACTGAAAGGACAGTACTTTGTTCATCAATATGAGATACAGAGTGTATGAAATAGTAGTAATGTGTTTCAGTAACAAAACACAAAAGGTGTTCCAGGAGCAATTTCTAGAGTGCTCTGGAGTCACCAGGAAGCCTTTAGCAAAGATGTGGGTTGAACCAGGAGAGGATACAGATGAACTAAAAAGAAACCTGGGCTCAGTACACAGGTTTTAGTTTGTGTGATTTCTGAGCATGCATATCACTTACTACTCTCATGCTTTAGAAATCTTGTCCCCGCACTTGCTAAAATAACTGAGCCATTGCATATAAGATAAGTTGTGCTTTATTGCAACACCATAATCCACTTTGCATGAGACTTGTCTCGCCGTCTAAACCGCTTAACAGTTTATATAAAAAACCACGACCACACACTGGATCCGACTTCACCTTTCCCGTGGTAACCAATACAGCTAAGGAGCTCACTGTACCATGGGCTTATTTATCGATTCACCCCGGGACTGAGTCGGATCACGAAGGACTTGGTGGCCTGGCACTCTGGTGTTAACACCTTGTCACAGCAGCCCTCAGTGAAATCACTTAACTGGTCTTCCTCAGCTTGTGCAAACCCAGAATGGCCGATCCCACTTCTCCCATGGGCTGCAGGGCCTCTGTCTCCCACTCCCCACCCAGTCCTCTCTGTCTCGTCACCCCCTCCTGTGACAATCCAAAGGTGAGAGGACCTCGCTTCTGCTCACCCAGGGCACCGCCCCTTCCTTCCTATATGAGCTTTGTTTCCTAAGTCACCTGTTCTCTATAAACAAAATGAAGGAAATACCAAAAACAAGGTTCTTCAGAAGCCCCCCCCATCATCTAGTTTATAACTCACCCTGCCCTGCTTTGTGTACTGAGTTATCCCCAGTTCTGAATAATGAGTCCACGTTTTAAAAGATACAGTCTGTCCTAAAACAATTACCGGCACCTATCAGTAAATCACGCGTGCCGCGTTTGAGTTTTACCGATTGATACTTCAGTGCCTTGGTAGACATTTTGTTCCAGGTGGCTCCAACAGTGTTTAAGGCTCTGAGGATACAGCTGAATGGCAGAGCTCTTTCTAGCACACCTGAGGTCCCAGAGTCAACCCCCAGGCCCACTGCAAAGCAAGAGAGGAGTGGGAAGGGGAGAGGGGAAGTGGGGAGAAAGAGAGAGAAAGAAAAGCATCGGGCAAAAAAAAAAATAGCGTCTGGGCAACTTATAAACTATTAACACTTAATGTCCTGCCTTGGCTGGGCGTTGGTGGTGCACACCTTTAATCCCAGCACTTGGTAGGCAGAGGCAGGGGGATCTCTGTGAGTTCGAGGCCAGCCTGGTCTACAGAGTGAGTTCCAGGACAGACTCCAAAGCAATACAGAGAAAACCTGTCTCGAAAAACAAAACAAAAAACGAAAAAAAGTAAAGTTCTGCCTTTAACTTTGCAAATATTTTGGACAGAGTTTCTTCCTTCCACGCGTTCTTGACTTACCCCATCCCAGCTTTGCTGAAGCACAATCGTCCAACAGGGAAAATCAGGAAGTCAGGTGCCATATACAACGTTCAGACGGCATCTGGCACAGAGTTCCGGCCAGGGGGGAAAGGGGCTGGAAAGCAGATTGTTCTGTGCTTACCAGACACACACCCCCACGTGGTGAGATGTTTTCCTTCGAGGAAACGGGTGCCTTGGCAGTCCACACAAAGGTGTTCTGTAGGCTGGTAGTGGCCTAGTTAAAAAAAAAAATTCACGTGAGGAGTTTTTATTATTATTTTTAAATTGATGCATTGAGAAACCGCTAAAAGAGTAAAATAGTCGGCACTTTGTGAAAAAGACTGTATCATACACAACATGGACAGGGAAAGGTCAGAATGGCCTTTATCAGAATTAGAAGAGTGGAAAGACAGGTGACGTAAAATGGGGTAAAGACCTTTTGTTTGCTGTGGAGAATGTAAAGAGAAGCCTTCCCGCCAGCCTGGTTCCAGAGCCGCATCAGTCCCAAATAAACACACAGGAGGCTATATTAATTATGAAGCTGTTGGCCTTGCTTGTTTCTTACCCGCTAGCTCTGACTTAAGTAATTACCCCATAATTGTTAATCTAAGTATTTCTCTTACCCGAGCAAAGTTCCGGACATCTTATTTCTCTGGCGGGCTACATCGTGACTCCCTGTGTTTCTCCTACCCAGAGTCCTCCTGGACTCCTAGTCCCACCTATCTTGCTTCCCTATTGGCCAACAGCGCTTTATTGACATATACACACAGGATTTCCCCAACAGGAGAAGAGGGAGTAGCTGGGACAATGCTGGTGCTGCATCCAGACACAGGGAAAGAGAGATTTCGAAATAGGCTTTGGGGCGTTGTCTACAAGCAAGTCACCCGTGACTTGTCTACCTAGAGACAGGTGGTAAGGAGAATCAAATCTTCAGAAAGGTTTTCTTTCCTCTCTGAACAGCTCTGAAGCGTCCCTTCCTCTCCCCCAAACAATGTAGAAATGTATTTTGAGAGATCCGGAATATCTCCTTTTGTTCCCATCTACACTTCACCATTGAGCAATCCTGTCCTCCGGGCAGTAAGCCCTGCCGACCCTGGGGCTAGTCTCTTAGCTCACTTTGCAAACTTTCTGCGTCCTGCCTGCTATCTCACTTTCTGGGACCTGTCGAGAAATTCAGGTAGACCTCCTCCCTTCACTAAATGACCAGTCACACCGTTTGAAGCAGGCGGGCCTGGCAGTCTCTTCCCAGGTTGCCCGACATTCACCGCAACCCATAGAATTTAGCATCCTGGAGAGGCAGTGTAGACCCGGAGCTAATCTGTCACTAGGATCTTATCTCCAGTCTCAGAAGATGAAGTCTGCAGTGAGTGACTGACTCTGTTACTCACAGGTGTCTTGCTCATGTAGGCAGAGCCAAAGTCAGTCTTTAAAAGCCTCATTGAGGAAGATGTTGGCTCAACTACAGGAAAAACGGTTCAACGCTTAGTGCTGTCTGACATGGAAACTCGGGCAGGGGAAGGAGTGAGTTATGGCTTCTTGAGGTGCGAAGCACTGCGGAGCCTCCTTCCATGTCATTTCTGCCGTCAAGACCGCAGGGCTGGCATGAGGAGGTAACCTGCGACTGTTGGATTCTTGTCCGTGCTGCAGCCTTCCGTAGATGCTCTGCCTCCATCCCCAGAAAGGCCCCCCCAAAGGAACTGGTTATAACCCCCGGGGAGAGGTTCTGGTCACAGCTAGCAAGTGTCGGAGCCAGGATCAAGACTCAGCACCACCTCAAACTGAAGTCCTTATGTGTGTTTTCCGTGGTTCACAGAAGCCTGAGAGGCTGAGCCAGGGATTTCCAAGGCCCCTTCTTCCAGCATTGTGATTCTGAGTCTCCACGTGGCTGTGGACATCGTTGTCTGTTTTCCCTTCATGCTTCTAGCCTCACCCACGTTGAAACGACAATCTGTGACTCCGTATCCCCACTGAGACCCCTCCATGGAGACAGAGCCGCTCGAAACCCCAGCATCTGCTGTCTTTTTCAGCTGAACGTAGTCTAACCTCAATATGGGAGTTGAGGGTGTCTTGTTTTGTTTTGACGGTGCCCCGCCCCCATGAGGACTGAGTTAGCGGTGTAAACGATTAAGCTGTTAGTCATTTCAAGTATGTGTGGCTCACCTCTTGGTAGTTCTGAAAACTGTCGTCCCTACTGAGCGTCCAGGTTTCAGTTACGAGAATATTTGGCCCAAGGTCAACTTTGAGGGGCTAATTTCTAAGTTACCATTTTATTTATTTAAATTAGAAACAAGCTTGCTTCACATGTCAATCCCAGTTCCCTCACCCTCCCCTCCTCCCCCATCTCCCCCAATCTCCCACCCCATCTCCACTCCACTCCCTGAGGGTGAGGCCCTCCATGGGGGATCTTCAAAGTCTGTCATGTCATCCCCGGCAGGGCCTAGGCCCTCCCCCATGTGTCCTGGCTAAGAGAGCGTGGAGTGGGCTCCCAAAGTCCATTTGCACACCAGGGATGAATGCTGATCTACTATTTGAGGCCCCATAGATTGCCTAGGCCTCCTCACTGACACCCAGGTTCAGGGGGTCTAGATCAGTCCCATGCTGGCCTCTCAGTCACTAGTCTGGGGGTCCATGAGCTGCCCCTTGTCCAGGTCGGCATTTTTAATACTAGAAATTTTAGAATACTTTAATTTAAAAACTTGATGTTTGACTCTTGTAAAAACTACAGTCTGAAGAATGCATTGACTGTGTTTATTCTGAAGGTACAGTGACTTTGTGTGTTTTAACCCTCTGTTTTCCAGATCGAAGCTGAGCTTGCCAAGGAAAGAGCCCGGCATCTCATTGAGTTCCAAGAGCAAACTCTCCTCTTTAAGAAAGAAGCTAAACTGGAACTCGACATTGAAAGAGAAAAACACCAGGAGATCATCCGGAAGTACCAACAAGAACAAGAGAGCCTGAAGATGAAGGTCTGTCGCCACCACATTCAGTGGGACACAAACCCCCATGCTCCCCGCTTAGGCATGCCTTCCGTGACCTGATAGTCTGCCCGTAGTTACCACACCTTCGTTCTGCCCGCACAGACAAATGGTTTGGTGTGCCTGTGATGCCGCAACGATAAACGGCACACTTGTTGAGGGAATAGGTAACTGTTTATTGTAGGAATTACTCACAAGAGAAAACGGGCAACCCACATGAGCCAAGTCTTTCTACCAAACCAAAAGCCGAAAAAAGACAGAGCGCTATTGCAGTTCAGTCTTTTATTCCTTCCTCCATGCACACCCCTAGCCACGCCCAAAAGTGGGCCTGGCTAGTGGCATAGCTCCGCCTTCCTGTCTCTAGTCATGCCCAAAGTGGGTGTGGTTAGCTTAGCTGCGCCCTTTCGTTACCACATCCGTGTGTGTCTTTAGACCGCCACGTGGCTAATGGCAGAGTCCTAAGTTTCCCCCTACATGCCTGGTTTTCAGAAAGGATTCTGGAACTAAATTACAAAAGCACACAGCCAAACTCTGCATGCATTTGTTTCTGCTGACAGGAACCCGCCTCTAAAACACTGATGACGCTGCGTAACTGGCAACTAGCATGGCTGCATAGTCCAGTATCAAAAGACAATAAAGTATTTAACGCAGTTAAAGAGCATCCTTCCTAGAGTTCAGTCTTCTTAACCAACCATTTGGGGGATGAGAAAAAACTTGTACAAAAAGTAACGAGGCTGTTGAAGTGTCATGCTTTGTTGGTTCGCTGTCGATTTTTACTTAATCCGGAGATATCCTCCTGCCTCAGCCTCCCAAGGGTTGGGATTACAGATGTATACCACCAAGTCAGGCAGGTTACTTCTGCTTTTGTAGGACTTAAGGGTAGAGAGGGAAGAAAGGAGGAGAGGGGGAAGAGGAAGAGAGAGGCAGAGGACAAGAGAACGAATCAAAAATAAGTGTGAAACTGAAAAAAAACTCACTAAGAATCCACGTTAGAGCTACTAGATGACTCAGCAGGTAAGCTTGCCACTGTGCCTAAAAAAATGAATTCAGTCGGGCCGGGCGTCAAGGCGCACGCCTTTAATCCCAGCACTCGGAGAGACAAAGGCAGGCAGATCTCTGTGAGTTTGAGGCCAGCCCGGTCTACAGAGTGAGTGACAGGACAAGCTCCAAAGGTACACAGAGAAACCCTGTCTGGAAAAAAAAAAGAAAAGAAAAAGAAAAATGAATTTAATCCCTGGGACCCACGTGGTAGAACTAGGGAACCAGCTCCTACGTGATAGCCTCTTACCTCCACATATGCACAGTGGAGTACATGTACTTACACACACACACACACACACACACACACACACAGAGAGAGAGAGAGAGAGAGAGAGAGAGAGAGAGAGAGAGATGCACTTTTTCTTGCAGATGACTCAAAGTCAAATCCAAGCACCTACAGTGGCTCACTACCCTGCACAACTCCAGTTCCATAGGCTCTAACCAACTCTTCTGACCTTAGGCACCACACACGTGGTACACAGACATACATTCAAGCAAAACGCTCGTACACATAAAATAAACAAATCTAAGAAAAGAAATAATCCATGTTAGTTGGGCACCAAACAGGCTCAGGACCTCTGTGTTTGTGTGAAGACGTTGTTCAGCCCTTCTGGAGTTCACAGGGGACAAGGAGGACCAGCCCCTGGAGCACGTGACACAGAAGTGCCTGGCCCTACTCAGAGTGCTCTGAGGAGGCTTCCATCTGTCGTGACTCCCTTGACGACTGCATCCGTGAATCTGGGGTTTCTTTTAATGAGTTCCTAGTAACACAATGAAGCTTGTGCTGGGTGGGGGGCACTTGGTGCCTCGATTCCCTGATGGCGTAGCCCGCCCTTGCCAGGTCCCCACGACTGCAGCCGCCCTGAGTAGCTTGGGATCCCAGGGACACAGAAGGATACCGTTCCTTTAGAGAAGGCAAAACTCAGATTTTACAGGAGAAATCTGATTCTTAAATGCTGACTCTCCCTTTTTAAAATCCAGACCTCCTTGTGGCTCGGCGACACCCCTGTCTTCAGGACAGCTTGCTCTGTTTCACTGTCAGCTCTGCCCTGAGGGAGGGAAACCACTGCTGAGACCTAACCGTGGTGGTCCCTTCCGTCTTCTGGATTAGTTAAAATAGTAGAATACTAACTTCTGAAATGACTCACGGTGGTGAACGGATTTCTTCCAGCAGTTAGCCCTTATGTAAATTTAACACTTGAAACGAATTTTTCAGACATACTGTTCCTGAGCAATGATCCACAGAGCTCCAGGGACCTGCATCTGTGGCCGTTCCAGCCTCTCCATGGCTGGCTGGTTTCCCACTGGAGCATAAGCAGAGGGCGTCAGATGTGCTCTTCACGCCTGCTCTCCTGTTGTTTGCCTGCTGCTGTTGTGGTTTTTTGTTTGTTTGTTTGGTTGGTTGGTTGGTTTTGATTTTTTTTAAGACAGTAGCTCACACTGGTCTGGCACACACCAGGAAGCCCCTGACTGGCCACAACACAGTGAATTTCTTGCCTTGACTGGAATTTCAGGAGTGAGCCACAAGCTCAACTTTTTGTTTTTTTAAGAGAAAGAAGAGTCTTTTCCCTTCTGAACATTTCATGCTTTGAACAGAAGGTGCCAGAGGAGTGGTTGTCTCCTGTTCCCGTGGGAGGAGCAGAGCCCTGTCCTGGTATTCTCCAGAGCTGCCATAACCACAGGCTCAGTGGCTACTTGCCCTTCAGCTCAAGTCACTCAAATTTAACACCTACTTCTTCAGTCCTATTGGTTGAATTGCCAATGCTCTGTAGCCAACCTGGTCTTCCAGAGCCTCCTAAGCCTAAGCCTACTAAGTCTCCTCACTGCTCAGTCATCGGAAGTAACAAGAGCAGCAGCAGTGGCAAAGGGATGTTATCAATGAAATTAGATACAGATCTAACTTGGGGGTGTGGGGGGGTGGTCTTTTAAAATATCACTGGCACCCCACTATATAACAATCCAGAATATCTATGATCACAAGAAGTGGGGAGTGTTGCTCTAGAAGACAGTGCTAATGTCTGGGGTACATCTATTCGGCATATAAGAAAGAAAAAATACATCAAAGGCAAACTTGCTCTTTCAATATGGAGTACAACTGTGTCTCTCGCTCTCTTTCTCTGTCTCCAAACATCTTGGAGGTTCCCGAGTCCAGCCAAGCCCTCTCCACTCGGTTTGTGGAAAACTGAGTTACCTTTGGCAGCTCAACACAGTCATAGAGATTTAAGTATTTCCAAGGGTGTCCAAGTAGTTAATGGGATAGCATTTTAGTAAAAATAAATAAAAAAACAAAAGTCTGTGTTGACTTAAAATATCTGAAAGCCTCCTATGTCATAAGATTTGCTCTTCATTGGTTAGAAAAACACGCCGGTTTAGTAGAAGACACTTTTTTTTTTTTTTTTTTTGGTTTTTCGAGACAGGGGTTCTCTGTATTGTTTTGGAGGCTGTCCTGGAACTCACTCTGTAGACCAAGCTGGCCTCGAACTCACAGAGATCCTCCTGCCTCTGCCTCCCAAGTGCTGGGATTAAAGGTGTGCGCCACCAACGACCCGCTTAGAAGACACTTCTTAACAACATCAAGAGCTCCGCTGCTCCCTAGAAACAGTTGCCTGCAAACTGACTGACATGCGATTCCTCTTACAGATAGCGGACTTAATCTCAGGCGCTACCAAAGACCTGAAGCTCGAAGTGGCCTCTCTCCAAGAAAAGCTCCAAGAGTCCCAGGCACGGTACACAGAAGAGTCGGAGTCAAAGAAAAAGGAGATCGAAGACCTGAAAAGTCTGGTGGCAGAACTCGAGCTTCGCTTGAAGCAGGAAACCAGCCGCGGCGATTCAGTTTCAGAAGACTTGAAGAAGGAAATGAAACAGAAGTCAGACGAGCTGGAAAGAGTGATGCTGGCCCAAACACAGCTGCTGCAGCAGTTTAGCCAGTCCCAGGAAGAGGTAGGAAGCGGATGACCCCGCCCCGCCCCCGCCCCCGCCCCCGCCCCGCCCAAGGGAAGAGCACAGGCATTTAAAAAGCAGACGGGCAGCTTGAAGTCAAGGAGGGAATCACACCCTGGCTCCGCTGCATCCCCTCAGCCTCTACGGGGACAGTTGTCTTCCGTTTTCAAATATCCTCAGTCTCTGAGAATCTCATACATGCTCGCACACCATGCGTTTCTGGTAGTCATGGTCACACACAGCCCTTCCCCATGTCCTCTTCCCAACCTGATGTTTGTGGTCGTTGTTTTAATAACAGTCCAATTAGGGCTAACCATATACACGCGGGTGTGCAGGCACTCACTGGGCCACAGTTCATCTACCGACTCTCTTTCCCCTAGGGTGCTTCTCGGGGTGGGAGGCTCACGAGCCGCCCTTCCACCCATCTGTGCTGGAAGGTTGACTGGCTTGATCCTGTGTGGCTCCCGTACAGGCGACTTCAGCCTCTGAGTCCATAAGTACAAGGGAGAAACCCCAGTGCTGCTTCTTAGACTCTTTCCACCAAGTCCCGTGAGCTACGGGGCAGTGGCGTGACATAGGTGTCCCATCATGGCCGAGCCCTGTCTGTGAATCAGTTCTGTGTTACAAACGATCACTTAAAAGCTCCATAACTAGAGATTCTTTTTACAGATTACACCTTATTTGCTTTAACATTAAATCTTTGTCAAAGAAATGTTCAGAGCATATGCTGCTTGTGTTAAAAAAAAAAACCAATGTAACGATAATTTGACTTTCATGTTTTAGAGCTCTGTCAGCCTGAACTCCTAAGGCAGCTTACATGTTTGAGTCTTATGTCTTACCTGTGCACAGTGGTTTCAGCAGTGTTTTTAAAACTAAAGTAGACTCCTTTTTTTATTGAGAACTTTTTATCTCTGGCTTATTTATGAACTGCTGAACAGTTTGGAAACAGTGTAGCGATGAATTGTAATATTTGATCCCATTTGTGGCAGCACAGCAAATAAAGACAAATTGAATGCTAGTGAAAAGAAAGACTTTTGTTGGCCTTATTGGCATCTTAATGAAGAAGTAAATGGAAAGTGCTAGCAATAACATCAGATATTAACAAATAAGCAGCATTTTCTGGCTACAGTTAAGTTGCCAAGCAAAATAAGAAGCTTATGTCACCATTACAAATGTGAAATGAGCTTATTACAAAGAATCACAAAGATGGGATATATGGACTGGATAAACTGTTAAATTAGAACAATGAATGGCTAACTTTATAAAGCAGCCATTATTTGACTGTCACAGGTGAGGAACTAACTCCCAAGCTTGGGTGGTTTCACACGAGGAGGGAGCCCAGAATTCAAATTCGAATCTCTGTGGGACAAAAGTTCCTTTTCCAGGAAGAGCAGCCACTCTTCAGGAGAGATTGTGAATTTCAGGATAAGCTCAGGCATAGCCCACGATACCCCATAGCCTCTATCATTTGCTTTTACTCTAAAAACGAGCAAAAACAAAGAAAGTAAGCATAAAACACCAAAACAATAAACACAGTCCGGCTTGGGTTGGGGAGGAAGGGGCCACCGTAGGTGATGAGCCCATGTAGGAGGACAGCAGCTCAGGCCAGCCAGGAGAGGGCTAGGAGCGCCCCGGAGAAACAGAGGAAACAGCACCGCTGATTGGCTTCTAGTGGGACCATATTAACACCCCCGTGGAGAGAAGGGGTCTAAAAGAGAGAAAGGCCTTGCCACTGGGCTAGCAAGTCTGGATCCCAAATAAAAAGTGACTCAACCAGGGGAAAAAATAGAAAAAGGAGAAGGTCAAATTTTTTTAAAAATGCAAAGTATCATCTGCATAGATGCTAAGAACCATGCTAGATAAGTAACAGGGCAGCTATGAATAAAATAGCAACTGCCACTTCCTACCTTCTGAGACATGTTAAAGAAAGCCTTGAGTGAATAATTGAATTAGCACCCAGAATAAAGAATGGCCTATACAGAAATTTGTCATATGAAAAACTTAGACTGAAGGGTAAAGACGCTCTACCTCGAGAGCCCATAATTTATCACCACTTGACAAATGACCCCCAAAGCCAGTGACTTCAAACTATAAGAATTCATTGTCTCATTTCTTTTTGAAAGCTGTATGTGTTTATACTTATGTGTTCATATGTGTCTGTGTGAGTACACCCCTAACCACTGAGGCGTCCCTCCAGCTCCTCAACATCTTATTTCTGTGGATCAGGAAGCTGCTGTAGTTTAGCTGGATGTCTGTGGTTTAGGGTCTCGTATGAGCTTGGTGTGAGGGTGTCCACGAGGCAGCAGGGCTTCTAGCCTACTTGAATGAGTGGTTATATTAACAGGTCAATATTCTCGTGGGCTGTTAATAGAGAACCTGTGGGCAGCTGGCCAGAGGAACCCCTCAATTCCATGCTACGTGGGGCCCCTTCAGAAAAGAACTCGCACTGTCTGCTGGCTTCCCTCAGAGCAAGTAGAGAAAGGGCGCCAAGACAGAAGGTAAAAGCCGTAGTCCTCAGGCAACCCAGACATCCCACAGCTTTCTTTACGTTCTGTTCATTCCATATGAGCCAGTAAGTCCAACCCACTTGGGTAAGCAAGTACCCAAGATGTAACTATTAGGAGAGTGGGGTCCTGGGGCCATCAGAAACGTCTGTATTTATTACTTTTCTCTTGCTGTGATAAAACACCAGGACGAAAGTAATTTATAAAAGAAAAGGTTTAGTTGGGCTTACACTTCCAGAGGACTAGAGTTTATGATGGCGGGGCAAGGGCATGGAGGCGGATGGCTGGAGCAGCCACTGAGGGCTCAGATCTTGATCTACAAGCAGGAGACAGAAAGAGACATTGGGAATGGGGCCAGTCTTTGGAAACCTCAAAGTCCATCCCCAGTGACACATCTTCTCCAACCAGGCCACACCTCCCAATCCTTCTCAAACAACTCCACAACTAGAAACCAAGTATTGAAACATGTGAGTCTACACTTAGATTTTTGTAACCACACCCTCTAGAGGTAATGTTAGCAAAAGGAAAGTGAAAAGTGGGTTTCTTTAAAGATAAGAGAGCTGAGGAGAGCTCATCTCATCTGGTTCCTAGTTGTGAAAGGAAGTCACTTGTCACTTTTAAGACAGGTTTCATCTTTTAAAATGTGAACTTCTGGGACTGGAGAGATGGCTCAACAGTGAGGAGCAATTGTTCTTCCAGATGACCTGGGTCGATTCCCAGAACCCACATGGCAGCTCAAAACTGTCCATAACTCCCAGTTCCAGAAGATCTGATGCCTCTTTTGACCGCCAAGGACTCTTACACACACACACACACACACTGCACAAGCTTACATTCAGGCACACACACATACACCTAAAATAAAATATTTAAAAACAAAACAAAATATGGAGTTCTGAAAGAGAGAAAGATATTAGGTTAGTATGTACATAATAATGAATCATTACTAGAAGGGAGAAAGTATTGTTCATAAAATAAAGCTAGTGAAAAAAATGTGGGGGGGGCAATTTCTTTCATGGGAGGGATAAGTAGACCACTAGGGTTTTCTGTCAGAAGTTACCAAAATGCCACCTCAAGTTAAATAATTAGAACTGAAGGGTAAATAAATAGCTAAGGTTGTTTCTCTGGTTAAATAAGCCAGTACCCAGAGTATGCTTATAAAATAGGAAATTCGCCAGTGAAAGTGATAGAATTTATGAGCAGAAAGCATGTGAGCTATAAATAAAGTCATATCAAATGAAACGTTCTGTGAGTTTTTTAAACCATGCTCTGTAAACACTTTCAAGTTCCTCAGATTCTGGAGACTTAAAAGCTATAATTACTCGGAGAGGAAAAAGAAAAACTCCCTTTAGAATGAAAATAAATTAGTGTTCTCCTAAGGAAGCTAATTAAGGGGAGGAAAGTCCTATTCTCTTTCAAGAGGCCAAAGAGTGAGTGGGATTTGTTTTCAGCTGCAGAAAGGGTAAGAAGGAGGCAGAAGCCCCTGAGAGGCAAACCGGGCCCTCCTTGGCCTAGAGCCTGGAGAAATGACAGCAGGAACATAAGGCTGAACCAGTGAGAGGGGGTAGCAATGCGGAAGACGGGGAATGAGAAACAAAACGACCGGAAACGGAAGTCTGAACAAGACTCCAAAAACTTCTCTTTGGGGAGAAGACACACACACTGAAAAATGGACACATTAAACACAGAAAAGAGAGCAGGAAGTTAGCGTTAGCACGTAGCACGTTGCCATTAGAGCCAAAGTAAAATAGGTCTTGTATTCTTGGTACCAGTGGTCCCCCTCTCGTGCATCCCATATTGTGATCTAGAGGAAGAGCATAGTTTTAGGAAATTAGATCCAAAAGAAAACAGAGAGCTCAATCTTTTTGTCATTTTAAGACCACAGTCAAGAGAGGGAGTGTAGGGAGAGATCAGCTACCTGCAACTGGCGTGGTCACGGGTACGTGGGAAGATTCAGGGGATAAAAGAAGGAACAGGTGGGTGCTCTCGCTCTCTTGGATGCTGACCATGCTTCAGAGAACAAAGCGCTTCCCAGCTTACCCTGTAAGTGATTTCTATGTTTAATAAAGTATCCTAGACACCCCTTTTCCAGGTGCACTGTTTCCTTATCAAGGGAGGAAGGGCAGAAGTTTCAAATCCTGCAGTTTTGGTAGCCCACCTAATGGTAGTTTAAAAATGTCCAAAAAATAGGAAACAGTGCTCTTTAGTAAAACGTGGAGAATGGGACGAGTGCGTTTGAGGAATAAAAGTGAATACGTCCACGAGGGCAAGGAAACGAGGGAAGAACTGACACCAAATGAAAAAGATAAAATTTTGGAAAATGGGAAGCAAATGCCCGATAGATAATAGATTTGGCAAAGTACAGAATACTGAGCCCTAGTACCCACTATAGGTGAGGGGGGGTGTAAAGAGAAGCCTTTTCGTTGAGAGAAGCCTTCCCGCCAGCCTGGTTCTAGAGCCGCACCAGTCCCAAATAACACACAGGAGGCTATATTA